GACTTGTGATTTTAATATATAAAAATAATCAATTTTTAAATGTCACAGGATGTCGATCAAAAAAATTGGCCCGTATGTTTTTTTTTAAAGTTTCATAAGGCTTATTGGCTAGAACATGTTTAGTCACACGAACCCGTTATAGCAAAATCCCTGGTAGTTAATTGCATGATTTTGATTTTTTCAATTTTAAAATTTTATCAACAATATATATAACGAAAATGTCAGCTCTTTATAATGATACAGATTCAGATTCGTCTGTTAGTAAAATTAGTAGAAGATCCTTGACAAGTGAAAAAAGCTCTACTACCGTAACCCAAAGGCAAGTCTATGAATAGATTTATATGCAATTGGTATGTATATCTCTCCATAATTTTCTAAATCTCCAGAAATATTATTTATAGTGACGATGCTGTTTCAAACTCTTGTCACTGGGTGTCTGATGATTATTCCAAATCCATGGATGAACTGAAAAAATTCCGAAAACTTTGGTGGGATCAAGGGCTCCTCCATCCAAAGGCTAAATGGACTCATGTTGAGTAAGTGATTCCTGTCTTTTTCCTATTAAAGAAAACTAATTTTTTCAATTATATATCAAGGCCCCCATATGTGCTCGTAGAAGGTGTGACTTTAGAAGAATACGAACGCCGTGGTGACTTATTTAATATTCATGGACTTTGGGAGTGGTCCAATGGCACAGTCACAATCATTGAATTTCCATCAACACAACATGAAATTTGTGTTGGTTCAATTACTAGAGTATTATTATACCAATGCAGTGCTGTTGCTTTTACTGATGCTGAAATTTATGGCCTTGGATCAGCTCGTAAGCATGGATTTTGTTAGCCTTTGATTACTAATACATAATGTAAACTAACCTTGTTGAGTATTTAAAGAAACTCGTGCCGACAGTTCTGGAAAAGAAGCTGATGCTTCATTTAGACCAGAAAAAATAGCAGCAATTCCACCGAATGGGAGTGATGGAAATGCATGTATCTTTTCATTCCTTACATTTGTTTTGATAAACTGTAAATTTCACATTTGCATTTTGTTTCAGGACAAGCCATGGCCTAACCTTGTCATTGAAGTCGCATATTCCGAGAAAGTAAAACATGTTATGGATAAAGTACAGGCTTATTGGCTATACAGAGATCGTGTTCATGATGTAATTGTGGTTAAAATTGATCCAGTTCCTGAAGGCCAAATTCCCTCACGCATGAGAGTAAGTTATATATCATTTACAATACAGTGGGATCTTGTTATTAGAATATCATTCTAATGATTGGTTCTTGACAGGCATGGCATTTTTGCATCTCAAGCGGTAGGTTACCAAATGGAACTATCCTGGCTAAATCTATGGTAATGTTACATGCATCAATTCTCCTTCCTGTCAATATATATTAAAATCTCTAATTGATTAACTATTAGTTCGAGTTCGGCACACAAGACAAGTTTGGTAATGCATTGAATATACAGCAAGGTACATGTATTATCAACATTCAGTTAGACTGCTTGTACCGTGATTTACTCCCCAATATCCAAATACCTAGAAACATTCTTTCTGATCCTATCGAATTGGATTTTTTCTTTGTTCAAAAAGCGATTCTCAAAATAGTTTAATGCTTTATGTGGAATGCAATTTTAGTTCAGTACTTTTATACATTAATATTGCTTTAAAAAAGAAGTTTCATTCCTCGTAATACATATTATTATCTACTGTTGGAACACATTTGGCTGTAACCTTAATTTACAAAATAATAGTATGATTTTATTTATGTCATGCATGTGTATAATTTAGTCGTAGGAAATCAATATAAATAAAAAAAAAAATCTCATCACTCACTATTATATGATGCTGATAAAAAAAAATAATTGCGACGATAGTAAATAGATAAAATAGCGATATCCCTTTTAAAAAATATATGTGCTAATGATAATAAACTCTTGTAATTTGTATATGTATAGGATAATATATTGTATGGCTATTTAATCAATTCGTTCTTATTTTAATTCCTTGAAACCACATTTCCCATAGTTATTTTAAAATTTTGAACACAATTTCATTTAATAAGATGGTTGTGTAATTTGACCTGGCATTTTATTATGTAGATAAATATTTTTTTTGTGTGCGCAAATTTATGATGTATATATTTTCATAATATTTATTTTTAACGATTTTCAATAATAATTATGATATAATATTTTGTATTAAATAAATATAAGTTCTTTTTTCGATTTTCTAACTTTTTTCTATACATATTTTGATATTTAATATTAATGCTTTTATATATTATTAATTAAAATAAGTTTGATTTTTTTAAAATTGATTCACGACATTACAGGGTAATATCATAAAATTGATTTTTTTTAATATTAATATTAAGTTAATTTTTTAATTAATTCGTGACATTACATGATAATCTTCATTTACACATTACAAATGGAAATTTAAACTAAAATTGTCATGTTGGATTGAAATGAAATTACCTGTTATTATTTAAAGAAATTCTTTAGATAAAGTAAAATTTTCTCTTTTATATACATCATATGAATTCTAAAAAAGTTGCCTTTTGTTTCGAAAGCCAAAAAACAAATACCTACCTGGTGCAATAATTGCATTTGACTTTTCAATCTACAACTGTGAACTTCACTTCTTGTTTTTCTTTAAAGATATTGTATCATGCCTGTTGAAGAAGTAGTTTATATATTTGAATTAGATTCGAACCAAGTTGAAATCGAATCAAAATACGATTGTATTCGATTTGAATTTATTGATTCATTCAGAACTTGACTTTAAATTGATCTCTTTTAACAAAGAATTTAGGATTTGTTGGTTCGTAGAAATAAAAATCAATTTCTTTTGACAATAAAAAATGCTGATTTGTTGGTTTGTAGAGATAAAAATTCTTCAAAATGTCGAAAATAATCAAATCTGCTGTTTATTTGTATTAGATTTATCAAAGAATTTTTAAATGGATTTCTTTCCTATGATTTTTGCGGAAAAATACATTATTAATAACAGATATTTTTTCTAGTACCAATGATCCATTATAGAGGGAGTAAACTTGTAAGACTCGGGACGAATCCCCGTATTAGAGTTGGTACTAGTATGTAAATATCAAAATGCATTTTTCTAATGCATTCAGTATCAAAAATATGTTTTTTCCGTGTGTATTTATTCTGCTCACTCAACACTAGTACATATTCTTATATAATTTTTTATAGGGTTGTTGAAATGAGGTTTGACCGAATTTGCCTTATTCTATATAATTATAAACACATTTGATTTTTAAAAATCTGGTTTGATTCGATTTGAATCAAATCAAGTCATGGAACAAATTGAATCCAGTTTTTTGAATTGGAATTACTTTAATATTCAACTTGATTCGATTTGTTTGGTGCCTTAATAAGATAATTGACAGATGATTTATAAAGTGAAGAAGCATAAGCATGTAAAGATGAATCAATTGTATAAGAAATTGTCAATTATATAAATATATTATCATTTATTAAAATATAATTCTAAAATCTAAATAGAGATATAAAAACTATATCACATTACTTATTATAATATTGACAATTGGATATATATATATATACAATTTACAAATAGTAATTAATAAAATAAAAAAAATGGAAAGGGATGAAACAATTTCACAAAGTAATCAATCTTAAAAATTGTAAAGCATTAACTAATTAATTACTAACAAACTTGACACAAACTGCCATCTGATTTCACCAACATCCAGCAAGCATCCCCTCCCAATATATGATAATGTAATAACCAAAAGATTTCTAGCCTTTACCAACTTTTTTAATATTTCTGAATTCCCTACAAAGAAAGATCAAATATTTTGAATATTAATTTCAAGAATTAAAGATTTTTTATTTAGCCATACCTGAAATTGATTATTCTAGCACGTTTAGATTTCCTAATAACAAAAATAAAACACATCATTAATTTACATCAATTGATTAAATAATCATTTATTATTATTAAGGATTTCTACTAACGATAATTTAGCTTTAATTTTAGAGTCTCTTGACCAATTATACTCAATCATTTCCTAATTGTTTTTTAGAATGTCAAAATGCATAATTAATTATTTGAATCCTTACAATTAATTAATTATTATAAGCATAAATGTGTAAATATAAATATATTATTAGTACAAATATTTATATTTGTATTAGTACAAAAAACATTTAAATGCCACTTACATCTATAATCTCTTTGATTTCAGTATTCAATTTATTCCATTTATTCAAAAAATACAACTCTAAAAAGAAATGTTCCATAATAGGATTATATAATTCATCAGAACATAACAATTTTCCAACATTATACATGATTACACAAATGCATTCCAAGTAAATGTCAATGAATACTTTTCTTTTGAATTCTTGTTTCCAAGTTTCCAAATATTCAACATCAACATCAACATCATGATTAAGTTTATTTTTGATAGTATTGAATAATCTCAAGACAGTTGAACAGACAAGTACCCCGCCATTAATATTTAATTTCAAAGATTCACACATCATATAAATGAGTCCAATATAACGATTTTTTTCCTTGCTCAACAAATATAGGAACTTTTTATTTTTCATCAATTCCTCTTGATTACATTCATCATCCCCACCTTCATTGTTACAAAATTCGTTTGATAATAAGATTGGATCTAGATTCATACCATCTTCAAGTTCTTTTTCCAACCTCTCAAATAGTATTTTTTTGAATAGTCTATCACCTTTATAATATTCTTCCTCTCCCACCATTCCTTTGCCTCCTTCTTTGCATGATGGCGATCTGCTCACATTATAACTTATTTTTGGATCAATATTTAAAACGACATGTTTGATCAGTTTGCCATAAAAATCGAAATAATCTTCATCCACTCTATCAATCAATTGTTGAACTATTTCTTCTATAACACAAATATTGCCCTTTTCTTTCAACGATTTATTGTTAATGTAGTCAACTACTTCATTAGATACATCCTCAAGCTTATGATCAATCGATTTGACTTTGTCAAGTAAATTTGATACCTGTTCACGAATGGATTTGATTGGTTCCAAGTTTTTTTTAGTAACAGATTGAGAAGAGTCAAACCCAGTTGCTGTAAGTTTCAAACTAAGATCAGGTGTACTGTTTTTGTTGCAGTGTAAATTGACTAAAGTTGCAGTTGAAGTCATTTTTATTTATTTTTTAGTTAAAATAAAAAATGAAAATGTGTGGGTATATATATATATATATATGTATATTAGTAATTTTTGAAAGAATGATTATACGAAAATTTTATTATCGCCACAAATGGCTTTGTTTAGTTTCCAATTCCGTAAAATGACACAAGATTTTTGTAGCACAATTAAATTAACAAGTTTTTTAAGTTTAAATGGCAAAGACTGTATTAATATACTAAACTTTGTATAAAATGAAAACAAGTTATACATGCAGCCCAAATTTTGTTTTGTTGATGTCAAAAAGTCAAAAAGTCAAAAAACATGTACCATTGAATTATGACATGTGTAAATAATGTATGTACGCCACAATAAAATTTGCACGACCCCGTGACTCCTGTATATATGCAGAGAGAGGTGTTTTATTTAAACTTGAGGCTTAATTCCTCCATTTTGGAGAAATTAAAGTTCAGCGACTCACCAGTCATTTGAATTATTTAATGATCAGCAAGGAATAATAGTTCCCGGATCTTTTTAAGACACTCGCTACACTAAAAACCAGTTTAAATTAAATACAAATGACATTTATAATATTGAATTTTTTAAAATAAATTGTATATTATGTTATATAAAAAATGTATTAAATTATTAAACTATAAAAATATAATTTAAAATATAGAGTGTTACTATTGACCAGATGAGTTGAGAGGTGATAGTAGGAATCAATAACAAGACAATATATACAGGTCACTCCTGTTATAAGAATGCTCCTGGACAAGCAAAAAATGTCCGTATAACGTAATGTTCTTATAATAATAACGGGGGTTCATATAATAAAATCACGCGATTCATAAAAAAGGCTATATAAAATAGAACATAGCAATAGTCTTTTTATTGCCTTTAGAGAATTGAATGGTGAGAAAGTAAAAACCTTTTTTATAATAATAAAATAGTCTTTTTTTTTGACATTATTAATTATAAAACAATCAAAAACGTAAAGTTACTTCATCACTGAAAAAACAATCCGCAAAGCAATTTTGAAAATAATAGATACTTTGTCATCATCAAAACAATTTATAAATTAATTATTGTTAATAAACCTTGATTTTAATATATTGAAAACGTAATTAATTTGTCACGAAGATCGGAGTGATTTGATTGGTTCTCTTGTTATACTGACATGTCCTTATAACGGATGTCACTATAGCGGGATATAAAATTATTTTTTGTAAAATTATGTTCTATACTCTATACTCGTATAATGGGATATATAATGAATGTCATTATAACGGGAGTAAATTTATATTTATAAAATTTGTTTTTGAAAAAATGTTACTGTCACTATAACAGGCTGTTCTTATAACGGGAGTGACCTGTATACTACATATTCTATAGATTCTACCAATTCTTCATGGAAATTATATCAAACTTCTTTCTACCTTAAAAACAAAAATCAGAGAGTTTTTGTATTTATTTGGCATTTTTAAGCATATTAACACCATATTTATCTTTAAATAAGGTAACATAGAAAATATTTTTGTTATAATATTCTGTTTACATATTCTTGAAATGGCATTTGTCCTTTTTTTTTTTGCTAGTGGAAGTAAGACAATATATAATATTTGTTGTTTAATGGCCTTTATTGTTTTTAATTATTATAGTAAATCACGTGACTACCCATTTCCCTTAAATTTATTGATAAATAATTAAATTTACAAAATCAACGAATAAAGTTGCCGGAGTGCCCGAGTGGTCCAAGGGGCTAGACTTAAGTTCTAGTATGCGGAAGCATGCGTGGGTTCGAACCCCATCTCCGGCATAATAATTTTGTTTAATTGATTAAATCTCAAAAGATGGGTTTTCTTTTTTATACAAATATACAGTGCAGAAGCATAGTAGAAATTCGATTATATCAGAAATGTGATGATCATTTGTGATATGGGTTCCATGCTAGCAAAAAGGACCTTCGGGCTCAAGAACCCCAAAATGAGTTATTGACACTGTTATATTCTTTGAAGTGATGATTACAAATTGGCATAATTTTTGTCAACATTCAGTGTATAATTATTTTACAAAAATTTATTGAATTTTGATCCCCAAAATTGTATAATAAAATGATAATCTTACAATTTTTATTATTATTATTATTATTTTAAAAAAAAATATGAGGTTCCACTACAAAATTCCTAATTTTTTTGTATAAATATATATATAATTTTCTGTATTAATTATACTTTGGCGTACTACCGAAAGTATGGATCTCTAGAAAGCTTTCTTGCATAGTTGATGCTTTGGGGTACTACTGAATCAAAAAATTTGTTCACCAGTAGTACATCAAAGTATAATTTTATATATTTATATCTTTTTGAAATGAAAATATCTCCAACAATATTATTGTCAATAGACAATTCAGTTGTTATAATATCTGAATCAATTCTTTGTTGTTAAAGGAATCAACCAAGTTGCCACAAAAAAAAAGTGAATAATTTTCTTCGCAAATCACTTATCAATCAGGGAATTATATATATATATATATAAGATCGGCAGGACAAGATAACAGTAAATTTAGTAAATTTCATATTTTTTTAGAATGGCGATTGCATCTTAAAACATGAAAAGCAATAAAATGTTTATTGTTTTATGTAGCATAACTGTTTTCAATAGAATGACAAACCTCGTTAATATGAAAACACACAGTTCATAGATGAATACACTTATACCATAGTGTTTAGAAGGAAAAGCATTTTTAAAAAGCTTTAATAGAAAAAAACATAATAATAATAATATTTCATATATAAAATATTGTCTCGAATGGCAACTGCATGTATAGCTCTCTCTAAAATTTTTTTAAAATGATTTTTGAAAGTAACATCACATTTTATTCCATTATTTAAATATTAAATGAGAATCCATACGTGTCATTGATAGCATCAAACGAAAAGCCCTAATATGTCTTTAAAAAGTCATTTGTACAATAATTTTATAATTCATTTGAGCAAAGAGCAAGATAATTATTTAATACCAACGAGAATAGATCTTGCTTTTTAATAAATAAAACTAACCTTTTGTCCATTTAGGATTCGAAATTAATAATCAAATTGACAGATTTGGTTAACACACTATGATAATAATCATAATAATATAACAATAAGTTACTCCATAAATCTTTTATTTTTAGAATTTCACCATGAGAAAAATACATTTAACTAAAGTATTCACTTTTAATATTAAATTAAAATAAATGAATTATGTCTTCAAGAACGAATGAAAATGAATTACTAGTAGCTGCTGCTTTAAGCAAAATAACAAATCAACATGTCATTACTTATAATGACTATATTACCCGTAGATATGGCGATGCTATTACATATAATAAATTAGGTCTCGAAGATTTTCAACAAATTTGTTTGGATCATTCAACTAATTTCGCGGATCACATCAGACCTGACACTCATAATGGAGCAACTTGTTCCCATTGTCACGCTTTGCCCCCTTTGACCACTTTGCCGCTTCTGCCCAATTTTCCCTATTTGGTGTCAGCTGCCCTGATCGGCGTGGTAGCGGGAAGCACTACTCGCGGGGAATCAAGTCCTAACAACCACGAAGAATCTGAGCCCACTAATGGGGAAGAAACCGGACCAACTAATAATGAGATGATTATATTTGTAAAATTGTTAAATAATATTACAAAATCCTTTAAAGTTTTTCCCCGGGATACCATTCTCAGTTTAAAACAAAAACTTGAAGCTGAAGATGCTACTTTGATGGGTTTGATGGGGGATTATGATTTGGTTTTTTCGGGACGTTATTTGTTGAATGATCATGGAACTTTGGCAGATTATAATATCGACAATGAATCTACACTTCACTTGATTATGAAAATTAAAGGTGGCTCTAATTCTATGTCTTATATGGATAAAGACCTTCTTGATCCAGCTTATGATTTTGATTTTACAAAAGTTGATGATTCAGGAACGAAATATTTTCGTGGACCTTATGAATATAAAAGACCATGTGGTTGGAATCGTGTGGCGTTTAAAGCAGAGAATAAATACGACAATAATATTTGGTTGGGAAGTGATCGAAGCGCTTGGTCAGTTTCTTATCATGGTACCGAGAAAGTAAATGCCAATCCAATCGCTAAATATGGTTATTTGTTAAGTAAGGGGAAAAGATTTTTGTATGGAAAGGGGATTTATTCTTCACCTGAAATTAGTGCTGTTGAAGGTTACGCGACGATTTTTAATCATAATGGTGAAAAGTACAAATGTATTATTCAGAATAGAGTTAATCCCACAAATCTGAAAATAATTCCCGGAAGCGTAACCTTGGATGGTGACTATTGGATTACGAGCGAAGAAAATATAAGACCTTATGCAATTTGTACTAAAAAGTGTAATAACAATAGTTTGTGGTTTCAATTTTATTGGCCGTTCGCATAAATCGAATTCAGCTAATTTTCATCTTCATTATCGTTGTAATTTTCAGGATGATTTGTTAACCCATCATTAAATAAAATATGTTCTAGAATTTTTCTTCCCAATTAAATTCATTAAAAAGCCTTTGTTTGATATTGTTGTTATGGAACTTAAAAAAAATTATATAGAAATACCCACAATCATTTCAGAAGATCAGATCAAAGACCTGAATACTAAAAAAGTTGGATAATGAAAATTATTTTATAATATTATCAAATTAATCTAATTTTTTCTCTATATAATAATTTATAAAATTTCAGTCCGTTATATATATATTTTTTTTTTTGCAAAATAACTTGCATATTAGATTTGGAGGCTCTTTGGCCGAAATCAACTAATTCCGAAATTCTTAATTTTTTATTATTATTCTATTTTTAGTTATTACTATTTTTATAACCTTATTTTATCATTAATTGCTTATAGTAACAATTGGTCAACTTCAAAATACTAAAACAAAAAAAAATTATATCATTTTAAAAAAT